TATATATATATATATATATATATATATATATATTTCCGTTCCTCTTTCTCGAGAAAGGGCTGTTAATCGGCCGTTACGACCGTAAGCATAGCGAGACTAGATCGCGTGACTATATCACGGCGCACGAAACTTTGCAGTTTTGCCAGCCATTCTCGTGCCGCGACACAACCTAGCCAACGACGAGAACACCGTCCTCTACAACACCTCCCTCGAGGAACTCAGCGTCAGCGTGCCGGAGAACACGAGCTTCCACGCAACGTTGAATCACCAGCACAATCAACAGCAGGGCATACCGCAGTCCCCGCAGCAACAACAGCAGCAACAACCAAATAATCCGTACCAAGGAATGCAGGTTGGTAGCTGGAACGGATCACATAACAAGCTAACTTGCTCAAAGTCAATTTGTTTCTCCAAAACTCATTTTTTATCATTCTTATTTTAAATTCGCTATAAATATGTCACAAATAATAATATATTATAATACAAATAATAATTATAAATGTAATAGAGATAATATATATATATTTTTGTTTATTTAAAATGTATATGAATCATAATATGTAAATGCATATTATATCATTGTGATATCTAATTAATTGTATGACCTCACACTCGAACTACATACATATCTCGTAACACTGATTTTTACACAGATTATGTAGGTAAATAGTTTATAACACTGTATAACGGAGGAGGAAACGCGCTGACAGATTTGGAAATGTGATTACCACACATTATTTATGTTTATAGAGCATGCAGGCAACGAGTCCGGCGAGCGTCGGGAGCCTGGGAAGCGTGCAAGGCTCGCCTCATCCCGCTCCAGGATCTATGGATCCGCCAGCAGATACGCCGCCACCGGGCTACATCAGCGAGGATGGCGACAATATGGACCACAACGATAACATGTCCCTGTCACGCTTGTCACCCAGTCCTGTAGACGCGCAGCCAGTTATGTATTGCGAGCCCGCGTTTTGGTGAGTACTAGGTTGATTAATGGACATTGCGCGTGGTGTATCGCACTCTGCTAAACACGTAAACAGAACGTAATACGATGCGTTGTCCGCGTGACAATTTTAATCGCGAGAGTTTCTAATTCTCCTAGCGATCGGAACAAAGTTACGGAACGAAGATCTCTTTGAATTTATAGGATTAATATTGACGTGAATTGAAATGGGATAAGATATCGACATTAATATAAGGAATACAACCAATGAGAAATTGCCTTTAACGGTCGAGTGGAATCTTAGGTGCTATTATAATTTCGTGTGAATTTATAAATTACATAGGTAGTCTTTCAAACCGCGCGCTGAACAATTTTTTGGTCTTAAAACGCTAATCTACGAAACTACCGCAGTAATATCACGAGTTAAATTATCTACCAATTTAACAATTTTATTATTTGTAGCATCTTGGATCTTAATAATGTTGAATGACATATTAAAAATCTGTAAATAATTAATTTATATTGCGAAAAATACAGTCTCTCTTGTAAGAGCGTAGCAGGCCTACCTTAAAGAAAAATGGCTTATTAGCCTTAAATTTATATTGATTGTATTCAGTAGGATTATGGCCAAAATGCAATTATATTAATAAGGAGTCCAGCTGCGTCTATAATAGATCACTAAAGAAATCGCATATCCACGTGATAAAAACCTCCAGTTTTGTCGAATGTCGTTTTTTAAGCGCTTCGAAGTTAATGTCGGTCTTTCACGAAGCTTCCTCTTGATGAATGACTACACATTTTCAATGGGATTCGCATCGGGTGATTGTGAAGGCCAGTGAAGCGTCTCGATGTCATTTTCCTCTTTCCAGGTCGTGCAGAGCCGGCTTCAGTGTTTGGGGTCATTATCCTCCTAGAGTAACCAATCTTTATCTTTACTGATAAACCAGCGGGTGGCAGCTTTTTGGTACATTTTTAACATTTTTTCAGCATTCAGATTGTCAGTAAAGAGATAAAGCCTGCTTCAAAACCTTTAAAATTGTTTATTCTAACACAATTCAAGCAACAACGGGTACTTTGCTTATAATGCATGCAGCACAAAGGTGACACCTATTGGCGAAAACAAAAATTCAGAGTATATCTTTACTCAACTGTGGGTAAGCCTTGCTACGCTCTTACTAAACAGACCGTAGTGGAAAGTATGTCTCGAAGGTGCCAATCTATTATAGATGCAGCTGGTGATTGGACTCCTTATTAATATAATTGCATTTTGGCCATAATCCTACTGAATACAATCGATATAAATTTAAGGCTAATAAGCCATTTTTCTTTGAGATAGGCCTGTCACGTTCTTACTAGACAAACTGTATTACCTCGGCCGGGAATCGAACCTGGATCTCTGACATTCCGTGCGAGATTCTAACTATCTATCAGTTAGATTACCAAGGCTAAATTGTTCAGCGCGCGGTTTAAAAGACTATATACGTAATATATAAATTCACATGAAATTATAATAGTGTCGAGATCCAGCTCAACCCTTAAAAACAATTTCTCATTGGTTGTGTTTCTCACATGTACAACCCTATAAGATTTAGTATATTTAAATATTAATATATAAGATTATTAAAAACCGGAAATGAAATTGACAAATTAATTGAGGTAGTATATTTATATTATTCCCGCGATGCAAAACTTTTCTTTGCTCTTGATTTTTGTCGTGCCATGTGTATCACTCACTCCTTTTGTTTTACTTGCCAGGTGTTCAATTAGTTATTACGAATTAAACACGAGAGTAGGCGAGACGTTTCACGCGTCCCAGCCGAGTATAACCGTGGATGGCTTTACCGATCCAAGCAACTCGGAACGCTTTTGCCTCGGATTACTGTCCAATGTGAATCGCAACTCGGTGGTCGAGCAGACCAGGAGACACATTGGTAAAGGTGTTAGATTGTACTACATTGGTGGTGAAGTGTTCGCCGAATGTCTGTCTGATTCGAGTATCTTCGTACAAAGTCCGAATTGCAATCAACGTTATGGCTGGCATCCGGCTACCGTTTGCAAAATACCGCCAGGTAAGCGAAGAAATTTACCTCCTTACGCATTATAATATATCTTTTTCTTGAACGAAAAGGTAATATGCTTTTCCTGCTTGTTTTAAGATAATTTCATTTCAACTTTAAATTATTTAAGTACGAGTGTGTCCAAAATCTTTGCATTAAATTTCTGTAACCGTGTTAGCAGTTAGCACACAGATTGAAAATTAATAAATTATTACTTCATTTAGGTTTCTACGTTTTTTTTCATCCTTTTCCTACACATTTTTTTTCATCTTGTTTGGATTGAACCTTAATAATTTATCGGAAGTCTTCGATACTTTTTACCTACATGGTAGAAAGTGTGCATCTTTCAACGAAATTAGTGAGACCCTTCTACCTACTGCCTGATTTATTCAGTAATTATTATCTCAACTCTGATTAACGTTTCCTAACTGTATAAAATAATTACTACATGAATAAATCATTTGTTTATTGTTCGTCGTTTTCAGAATCTGTGTCAAATATATTTTGTTGACATGCAGGATGCAATCTGAAGATCTTCAACAACCAGGAATTCGCGGCGTTGCTATCGCAGTCGGTGTCACAGGGTTTCGAAGCAGTGTACCAGCTGACGCGTATGTGCACGATCCGAATGAGTTTCGTGAAGGGCTGGGGCGCGGAATATCGCCGGCAGACAGTCACCTCAACTCCCTGCTGGATCGAGCTGCATTTAAACGGACCGTTGCAGTGGCTCGACAGAGTACTCACGCAGATGGGCTCGCCTCGCCTACCCTGTTCCTCGATGTCCTAAGTCTTTGCAACCTCCATCCGTTCGTTCGTGAAAAAAGAACACGTGAAAATATCCTTCGTGTGCTATCGTCGTCGATTGATCGATCCATTCGTTTCTTCTATTCATTTCGTTGCATACAGTATGTGAAAATTGTTCAGATTCCCTCGAACGAACGTTGCTCAGTGACGCGTGCAAGAAGAAGGAGAAGAGAACGTATATGATCTTTGTGCTCGAAGATGCAGTTGAAAAAAATCAAGGTTCAGATACAACGATACCAAGTTTTCTTTGCGCTGATACCGCGATTTTTTCGAATTGTCGCGCGATTAATCACGAAGCAACCACGATGTGTGAGATACGCGGACGAAGGGATGCGAAATTGAAATGGCATTCACACGACAGTTGAATATCATAATAGATATCTTAAAGTTTGATGTCCTACTACGATTTGTTGTGATCGAAGAAAGGAGACACGGTGATGCGCAAGAATAAGATACACGGAGCTTCGCCTCGACGCACTTATATCGCGCGCATGTGCACCGCAATTGGCGTACAAGATATATCCAGGGTGATCATAATCCGAGTTTAGTCGATTGGTAATAAGGAACAAAAAGAAAATGTAAGAGAGAGAGAGAGAGAGAGAGAGAGAGAGAGAGAGAGAGAGAGAGAGAGAGAGAGAGAGATGTATATATGTACCGTGCGCTAACAGAGCTCAGTCTTTTACATATTTTTATTGCTTTATTGAGACACAACTATTACAGTCGTATTACAGTACACGCCAAATCTTTACCAGTTATAATATCTAAACATTATACATAATAATATATTGTGTATATATGTTGACTTTAGTCCATCATAGTGGAAGGAGTCCATTTGATTGAATATTTTATATTCATACGACATGCACATATACATACACAACATACACACATATACATACGTACATATACATACATGTATATATGTTTTACGATATTTGTTATGGAAGATTACGATAGTACACATATATCGGCGGAAATACCCAAAATTGTTTGTGTCATATAAGATTTTCCAATCGCAACTATATTGTCTATCTGAAATCAATATATAGATATATATATATACATACACATATATCATGAATACATTGATATGTATTTTTCAGTAAATTAACAATACGCGCTGTACGACTCACTCGGACTATGTACATTTCATTGGTTACGAGTTTAGCACAATGAGTATTCACCCTGTTGTTATGTATATTTTCTTTAATAACAAACGTAGATGCTTTTAAAAAGCAAGATTTATGCATGGAGAAATCTTTTAATATATATACATATTATTTAATATATTTAATTCGTATATTGTATTTTTTCTTTTTTCTTTTTTTTACTTTTAGATCTCTCGGACCAAATGAATAAATTTTGCCTTGTCAAAAAATATAGGTAACAATACATTTCTATCTAAATTATTACGAATACCCAAGTGCGTCTTTTTATCCTCTGTCGTTTCTGACGAAATATGTACTTGGAATGCCACGAAAACTTATCCTCGCGTTAGCTCTTGCAACTCTAAAGTCTACTATCGGTATATTTGCTCTAGACATTATTAGGAATTTACAATTTCCCTGCTTATACGATTGCAAAAAGAAAAAATAATCACTAATTGTATGTGAAGCGCCTTAATCCTGGGTACTTTCTTCTAATTTTTAATATATTCTAACACTCCATCTACATTCTGATTGGCAGTTTTTTTTTCGGCACATTTTCGAATAATTTTCGGAATACGAAAGCAAAGCGCTTTCATCTTGAACGGGAAAATTTAAATTTCACCGATCTTAGTCCTCTGTCTACAGAACTATGTACAAGCAAAAGTATCGTATTGTCATTGTCGTCGAATGTAAGACCGTAATTGTTGTCATTATGAAGGTCATTAATTAACAAGGAAAATAAAAAGAAGTAGGGGAGAATGTCCTAAATCGGACCGTGTTCCAAATCGGACCTTTTTAATTTAAATAAATACGGTTAAGCAGATGCGTGCTATTTATAATGTAAAGTCTGTTTAAGACACCGAACATGTGACAGCAGTTTGGCAGTACTCTGTCATAATATTCATAGAATAGACGCAAATATGTATTTTCGCCTATCGTGCAAAAATTCTTTTAAAGAAGAAAATCCTTGTAAATCATTTAAAAGATGTTAAAAATTTTAACGGTAATTGATTTAAGATAATTAAAGAGTGTAGAATTAAAAAATATCAAGAGTTTTGTGATTACTTTTGCGCTTTATTGTAAAATTTGTTGCAATAGTTTGAAAGAACCCGTGTCCAAATCAGATCTCTGTTTGGATGTCCAAATCGGATCTATACAAAAAACACTAAAAAGACGAATAAGCTAGTTAATTTATCAAAGAAAGAAGGTTTGTTACAATCTGTTTGGTGATTGACTGACCAGATCTGGTCTAAGTGACATTAAATTAACAAAATATGTGTCATCAGACTCAGATTGATGGAATTTTTTTATCAGGGTTGCCACAAGTCAGGGAAATGTCAGGGAATTTAAAAAAATACGTCGGAAAAGTCAGGGATTGAGCACACTTGTCAGGGAAAATAAAATAGCTGTAAATAAATTTATATTGCCTTGTGTTTCTGTGATTTGTTTTGACTACCTTTTTTTTTCTTTTGGAATTCGTTTCCTGAAAAAAATGTGCATACATTACTGGTTCAATAGAATTTTTAACATTTTCCATATTACGATAAAAATACAAAAAACATTGCAAAATATGTATTATTCAAAGTCAGGGAAAATATCAAAATTTTGTCAGTAAATCAGGGAAATGTCAGGAAATTTTACGATTAAACATTTGTGGCAACCCTGTTTATTGATTTTAATTCTAATTAAATAATATATTTTTATCTTTGAGTCTTAAATTGCTTGTTTTTACTCAATACTAACAAAAATTGATTAAAATATTTCAAAATTCTATCTTAAAGTTCATAAAAATAGGAGAGATCCGATTTGGGACTCATGGTTCCAAATCAGACCGAAAAATGCATTTTTACATTTTCCATTATAGTTCAACACAGGTAAGAGTAAGATACGTTAAAATGGTCTGAATCAAAAAATGAAGGAAATTAAATGATCTTTCGAACGGCATCATTGGTTTTATAAGATCAGACTCTATTTATTATATATCTTATAAAGAATAAAAACTGTAAATAGGTCCGATTTAAACCACTCTCCCCTACACCATCTGAGTGAGGAACAAGAATAAAAAATAGAAACTGCAGTTTCTCAATTACTCAAGATTGGTTAAAAAAAGATATACTAAGTGTTCTTTAAAAAAAAAATATCTTGTAAAAATGTCATAAAAATCTGTTTGTTCTTTAAGTTTTAATCGGGATGTGTTTATGTTGATACGAAAAATTCAAGGATATCTGCATCGACAGAAACGACAATTATTTTGAAATTCATTATATAATAACTAGATAAGACTGATAAAGCCGGCAAGTAACGCGGCGCAAATTTCGAAAACTATTCTCATCTACAATATCTGTACCGATTCCCGGCCATATCGATTCACGATAATGATAGTTAATGCGAACCGTAATATAGGTTGCAATTCTTTGCAGTGTATGCAGCCGTATGTTTCTGATCTTCAGCTTCAGGAAAACGAAAGACCGATAGATAATGGTCGATGGATTAATTGGGAAAAACGGAATCGCGGGAATAATTAATTTTTAACCTGTGCTGATGATCATGTTTCCAACAATGCAAGTGACAATTCAATGAGTATAAGAAGCTTAAAAGAATGAGGAAACAAGTTCCTTGAGAAGAGTGAAAAATCGTTGGCAAATTTTGGCGTTTCCTCGATGACTAAATATCTGATAATGTTTCAAGAAACGATACTGATTCAATAAACAGCAAGAGAAAACTTTTTAACGAACGAACCGGTTCAACTAAACTGTGAATCGGTTTCTTCTGCTTGTCAAGGAATTTTTTTACTCGCAAGGATCTTAATCCTAATTGAGGAATTAGCTTTGCGGAAAGTTACACGAGTTATTATTCCGACGAATGGATTGGATGGCAGAACTATGAAGACATACAGAGTACGCGAAAGAGAATATAAAACAATAAGAAAAAAAAGCTATATGAGAAAGGAATCGACAACCGAGCCGGTTAAGCTTGATCGTAAACAACTTTAAGAGCGATATCTCGAAGGTTGTTGACAAAATCCTGGGAAACGAGTCATCATCTCAACAAATGGGTTGGAAAGCAAAATGCCCGCGAAGAGATACGAGAAGAGAACAAGGAAACCGTCCGCCCGAATCGATGTCGTTCAACAATCATGGAAGTTGTACCCAGACTCGACTCTCGTTTGCAGCAATTCACAATTTAATCGTTTTGCGTGCAGTCCACTTATTCAGAAGAGCTGATAAATCCGACAGAATGATGGTCCCATGTTGCTGCACAGTGTATCGATTCGATGTTTGAGATTGAGAGCGACAAACTAAACAATTCGCCATTTTGTAACTCGTACACACGACTGATCTATCCGAGATGGACGGAGATGATGAACCAGTGCTGGTTGTACGTTGTCAATCAGGGGACTTATTACGGTTTTTCGGTAAATATAATCACTTTTCACATTTTTATTTCACGTGACTTTGATCACCCAATTACGGAATTGTCGAGTGAAAATGTGAGATAACTAGGCACTTCTGGTATAGTAATCATTTTCACGAACCAACCAAACAGATTCGCAGTTACAGTGTATATATAATTAGTGAAATTAAAAGATTTATATAATTATTATTAATTATTACGCATTAATAATACAGAAAAAAGAATACAAATTAAAAAATAAACGTTATAGAAAAACAAAAAAGAATTTTGCTAAACTAAATAAAATATGAAGGTTAATGAAGATTTTCCACGCTTACGATATAATAGCGGCAATAAAAAAAATGTTAGCAAGTACTACACATTATCTGTCAATATATGTTAAAATATCAGATTTTATCGGCAATGCAGTATTTTATTTTTA